TCATCCCGAAACGTTGAAATTAAATTTCCATTATTGTGTGTCATAACTTCCATATGATTGCAAACAACTCGCTAGCGTCGAAAGAAATGAATATGCAAATAAATGACTGGGATCAACGAATAAAAATGAGATGTGAACAGCGATCGAAGCCAAACCTTCGGATCATCCAACCAAACGTCAGATATGAAAACAATCCTCGCATCCTTATTTCTAGCGTTTGCGTCACGAAGTTGTGGTTGACTGGCATAAGCCTTCGCACTTTCACCACCAAACCAATTCGCATCACCGAAATACGACCGAGTCATTTCGGCATTCTCAACCGGTGGCAATCCAACGCCGGTCACCGTCAACAAATCAGCATTATAATACCCTTCCAGTAACATTATACAACCATCCGTATAAAGTCCCGAATGAAACGTTGCATTACTCAAGTCAACGTTGATCGAACCTAAATCTCTATCCGTTCATTCATCCATTTTGGTGAATCCTATCAGCTCAATAACATTTCATGATCCATTCGCACTAAAGTGAAATACTCACTGAACCACTTTGTTCAACGATACACATGAATAACTGTTCCTAAGATATTCAACTAAAAATATGATTAAGGAGAAGTAATCAGGTGATAAATTTCCTTTCACATTTTATCAGAAACGATTAAATCGTAGTAATCTCCATCAAGACAGGAGAAAATTATTTAAAAAATAACCGGTAAGATCTTCAAGTTGATATGAATCAACAGAGGACTGCGTTAGAATACCCAAAACGATGACATTACTTTGTTTACACCTCGAACCCAGTAACTTTTCCACTGTGCTCAATTGATATTTCCCTGATGATGAGCTCCGCAAAAAACGCTGAAAAGTAAAACGAAATTAAAAGGAACCTTCGAAAAACTTTGACTAAACAATCTCAGCTAAGCTGACTGATGGCAACAAAAAAGGGTACTGTCATAGAGGATGCGCAAAATCAAACAACACCGTGAAATAATACGATCAGAAAACGACAGATAATGGGATTAATGAGCCAACCTGAATAACAAATTTGAGACGGTTTCGAAGTAACTCAATGGCATCGACGCACTTCCCAATCGCAGATGGCTGTTGCGGTATTGAAACAAGTTTACGTGATGTTTCGTCGTAGTCAAAACGTGGAGCTGAGAATATGTCAATAACGTTGAATAGCGATAAACTGTAAATTAAGATACTTATTCGACTAGCGCTTGACCTGAATACACTGATGAGAGTCAATCGTAGCAAATCAACGAAAGATGATGTAATTCGTAGATAACTTCAGATAAATCTTATTCATAATTCAAGAATGAAAGGAAGTAATGCTACATGAGAATATGAACGAAAACTCGAACAGTTCTTTGCTTCTCGAACATGACGATGTTTTTCGTCGAAGGGTTCATCAATGAGAAAAAACGAGAACTGAATAAATTAAAGCATTACAAACTTTCTGGATTTTTTATTTTCGCATATCGCAACGGCTGATTTGAGCGTCTCAATACCTAACAATGGACTATTCACTGAAAGTTGAAGTAATATAAACAAATTATGTCATAGGAGAATTTGACTGACAGGAATCGGTGTGTTCAATAGTGCTTAGGGAAGAAACACTTCCAACGAAATTCAGTGAAAATGAAAAGGATAATTATGAAAAATCACTGATCATAATGACCAAAAATAAAATAAGGTTCGAGCACAAATCAGAACCAACACGATTGCTTCGAAATGACATCAAGAACACGTGCAATCCAGAGTGGTCGTTGTGAATCGTCGAGGTTCCGTAGTATATTCACAGCATATTCCAATGTGTCTCTTAAAATTATAAACAATTTCGATGAATCGTTTCATGCGAACAATTTGTTTTTAAAGCAAGAACGGTGAAGTCTGTGAAATGCCGGGCCCGGATCAAGATTATTCACGTCCCGACAAAGCAGCATTTGCCGGGCTTGGCCAACAATCATCAGGTCAGACCAAGATTTGCAAGGCCGGGTGTCTTACTGCATAATTACTCTGGCCTGGCCCAGTCTGGTGAATATTGGTCTGACCTGGCAAGTCTTTACCCGGACGAGCAAATCTTGCTCCGGTAACTCCACACTATCATGTTTGCGATGCTAAAACCAAAACATATGAAATGAAACGATCGAATTTCTGAGGGTGAGATTTCAACCATGATCGCGATTGATAAAAATGTTGTGATTCGAGCAGTCTCAACCATCACCATCATTACTCCGAATCAATAGGGTTGATATTTTCCATTTCAAATCAAAAACAATCTCAAAATGAACGAATAAATAATCAAATCAGATATACCGTTTCAGAGTGTACGTCCTCAATTCGAACGCCGTTTTGACATGCTTCTTCAGTGCAACCAAATCTTTCTCGACCATCTCTGATCAGCTGATCTCCTTCCTCATCAAACCACCAAACAGCACTCACTGCAAACGATATCAAAAGTTGAATTAACGCTCAATCTTAAAATGAAAATAATCCACCAATACTGCATGAATCTTCCAAATTTGTGTCGACGGTCACATGTGCTGGGGGTTTCCAGAAACAGAAAATTTCAGGAATCTTGCGGAACAGGGCGGCGGCATTGCTGATAAAGTTTTTCGCCATCGTTTCTGTTTTCTCTCTTTCGGTTAATCCGAGAATATTGCGTATCCTCCGGCCCGTCGAAAATTTGTATATTCCTCCTCTAACACCATCAGAAACCTCACTACTAACGTTACCGGTGCGAGTGCATTTTAACACTTCTTGAATTCTCGTTTAAAATTCAAATCAAATTTTCAAATAATTCAAAAAACGTTCGTTTTGAAACCAACCAAGAGTTGATTTGAAATTGCGCTCTTATTACTGCAATGCACCGAATGAAGTTTCTCTTGACACGCTCTAAACAGCTCAGCTGATCGCTGCTGAATGAGTACGAATGATGTTATCAACATAAAATAAAATGTTATCGTTGCTTTTATTATATGATTTTTGTTCCGTAAGGAAGTGCGAGTGTATTTATCGACCGAATAGCGTGTGCTATTTAATTTACGATATCGATGCTTATTCAGTGTTCATTCTCATTCTGTCCGACACACGCTTCCTTTTACTATCCACTACCAAACAATCATTCTATGTTCAGAGGAACTTATCGCACACTGCTCGCGCCATGATCTAGCTGAATGCCCCTAACCAATATTACTTCTCGAAAAGCGCCAAAAGCATTGATCGAGAGATTTTTTCTCAGTGGAAACATTTTGTGCTCACTCCTTGGTGATCTCGTTTAGAAGCTAGTGTCGCAGTATCTCACTAAAAAGTACCTTCATCAGTGGATTGCCATTTTGGACTTGTTTTTCGATACTTTCTCGACATTCGTTAATGTGTGGCATTCTTTAATAAACTTAATGTTGACATCGGCCGAATGTAATCGTTTAATTGTTACTGAAGTTCATAACATGTTTGTCGGTTTTTGACGTTGACATTATCAATCGAGTGATTCAGAATCTGGATTGTGAAGAATTGTTGAAAAGACTCGAAAGGAAGGTGGCGCCACTGGGGGTTAGGTGTAATTAGGCGCCGAGGAGAGCGAGGAAGGCGGTGTATGTATCGGAGAAAATGTCCCTCAGTAGCGGTAACAGTAGCACATCGAGTATGAGCAGTACTGCTTCGAATAGCTCAGATTCGTATGGTCTTAGTTTGGTAAGTTGCTTGCTTGTTAGCTGTTTGGTAAATTGCACTCTTTTCTTTGTTTCGTATGTGGTCAATCTGAATTATTGGTGAGATAGATCGAAATTTGGAATTTACATAAAGTAATTCGTTTCAATCATTTGGTAAAAATATCTGGATTGATTATATTCAAATGCTGGGCAACGGTCTCAGGCAGAGTTTTGAATGAGTATTGAATTTAAGGTATGCCCGAATGTTTTGGTAACGGAACGCTCGAATCGTAAACGAACACACAGTGTTAGCAGATTAACGCTACAGTCGGGTCAAGTGGCTTCGATGCATATGACAGCTTATTGTTTCGATGTTATATACGCCGCGCTTCGCAACCTTCAGGCGCCCAAAGTTCCTCAGTGTATTCCCAACGATAAATAGTAAGTAAAAGTGATGTTTTGGCATCCACTGTTCTTTTAACAATCGAATGAATAAATGAAGAGTATAGAAACACTTCTATGATCAGTTCTGTAGTTATTCAGTTTTGTTCTTATTTAGTCCGTTATTCGTGACGTGGAAAAAGGGATACGAACGACGACTTCGTGGATGTATCGGCACATTTAGTAATCTTGTTTTACATAAAGGCCTTCATGAATATGCCATTATCAGGTGAGTGACATTCCATTCTCATGAATCTAGCTGTACGATTTTACAACCAATTATTTTAGCACTAATTTTGGTGTAAGTTTACGACTGGTACGCAAAAATAAATTGCAGCATGCTGTGTGTGAGAAATTAGTGAAACTAATGTCCGAGGAAATGGATTGTTTTGCCAGCCTTTTGCTACCTCGTTCAGTAAATTGTGTTTCATAAATTATTTACGTTTATCAGTAGTACAATAAAGATATATGCTCGAATTGCGGATGTTTTTTT